CCGTGGTGGCCGGCTCCTCCGGCATCCCATTTTCCTGGCGGGCACGGGCGGGCGGCGGCGGGCTGTCTCTCCGCAGGGAGTTGGAGCGTGTCACCGACATGTTCTCAAACTCATCCAGCAGCAGCGTGAGCGCCCCATCCTTGGCACCTTTGCTGCCCCGCACGATGGTCTGGGGTCCCAGTCAATGGTGGGTGGGGGCCCAGCAAGGAGTGGGGCACACAGGACGTGCATCCGACACGTGGGGACAGGACAGCACGACACACACAGAGACAAGACAGAGACGCAATGAAGAGATGCCATGGAGTGACAATGGCATGGGTGGTGCGGCCCCTCCCCTCCCTGGGGACGCAGCTGCAGAGGCCGGGGGAGTGATCCCCATGGCCAGGCTGCTGCCCCCTGGGCTGGGTGGGACCCTGGGGAGGCACCCTTTGTTTTTCTCCTGTTCCCCACACTGGCAGAATAGTCCTGCCCTGTGGGGTTGGGGGAGGGAGGGCAGAAGCCAACCCATCCCCATCCCATAATCAGCCCCGAGGACTGCAAATGACAGGGAGCTGGGGCCTGGCCTGGCACTTCCTCCCCTGTGGGCGCCAGTGTTCTTTAGCCCCAAAACCACACTCTGCTCCCATGAACAACAAGGGCTGGGGGACAGGGAGGGTCAGAAAGGCCTGGTCCCAAACTACAGGGCAAGGGGGTCCCAGGAGCCGGGTGGCAAATACAAACGCAGGTGGGGACCAGGCAGAGCGTCCAGTGCATCCCAAGTCACCCTGTCCCCACCCTCCGTGGTCTGAGTCGTGTCCTGCAGGACCCCTCTGTCCCCGCCCCATTTCCAGGCACACGGGTGTCTCCCCACCACGCCCCCACCCAGGGCCTCTGCTGGCTGCTCCCTCTGCCCAGAACATCAGCTCTCAGGGTCACCGTGGCTCCCTCCCTCCACTCCTTCAGGTCTTCACTCAAAACTCAGCTTCTCAATGAGGCTTCCGCTGGCCACCCATCATCTAAAATGCCAGCCCCTGCCCTGCCTGCATTCTACCCAGAGCGCCTGACAGCAGCTGATATAGAGCACGCAGGCATCTGTCTGCTCCCGGCTCTGCCCAGTGCACGCTCTGGGCAGGGATGGTTTTTTCCTGTCTGCTTCAGGTCCTGCTACATCTCAGCACCTAGACCAGCATCTGGCGCACAGCAGGGGCTCCGTGAACTTTTGCTAAACCACGGAGTCAGTGAGGCGGCTGTGCAGAGGCCACGGTGAGCTGAGAACATGGGCCCTGCTGACAGGGACCCTGCCCGGGGTTCAGATATCCTCCAGCCGGAGGCCTGCCTCTAATGTGCAGAAAACACTGACGCCACAAACCCGTGGTCTGCCGCTGCCCTGCCTCTCCTGGCTGTGGCTGTCTGCCTGAAGCCGGGCCTTGCCCAGGGGCCCCAGGAAAGCAAGGTGGACACTAGGCCAGTCTTTGCTCTTAGAACCGGGAATTGAGGCTAGGAGCGGTGGCTCATGCCTATAATCCCAGCACCTGGAGACCAAGGATCACCTGAGGTCAGGAGTTTGAGACGAGCCTGGCCAACATGGCGAAAACCCATCTCTACTGAAAAGACAAAAACTAGCTGGGCATGGTGGTGGACACCTGTAATCCCAGCTACTCGGGAGGAAAATCACTTGAGGCAGGAAAGTCACTTGAACCCAGGAGGCGGAGGCTGCAGCTAGCCAAGATGGCGCCATTGCACTCCAGCCGGGGAGACAGCAGGAATGTGTCTCAAAAAAAAAACAACAAAAACAAAAACAAAAACAAAGAAACAAAAAAAACACACAAAAAAGCACAGGGGGTTGAGAGGGCCCTGGAAGGCCTGAGGCCCGGACAAGGGCAGCAAACACAAGCGCCCATGGGGCCCCAGGACAGTGCCGGCCATGAGGCCCTGTGCGTGAATTCAGGTGTCCTGCCTCCTGGTGGGACCGCCACAGGCAGGCCTCATATCTGGCAAGCCAGGCAGGAGCTGGGTTTTTGGAGACACCTTGATGTGGGTCAAAGCCTACATGCAACTGGCCACAGAGCCAGGCAGGGTGTGGAGCTGAGACGGGTCGGGTGTGGCCTGCGGCCCAGAAGAGCCAGTACCCGGCCTGCAGAGGCCACTGCCACTCGGCTCCAGCTGATCTGTCACCAGATGCCAGAAACGGCCTCGGAAGTGGTCTGTCACTTTTTCAGTGGTGGCAAAGAAGTCAAAGCATTCAAAAGCGTCCTGTGTGGGCCACATGGAACCCTCAGTGGGCCATCACACTGAGCTGCACTTGTGTCTACAGCCAATTTGTGGGCCCTTGGGGCTCCTCCCCGCCAGGCCGGGCTGGGCACCCGGAAGGGTGAGTCCCCAGGCACACCCATCTCCACCCGCTGGAAGCAAACCTGGCCGAGCTCCCCCTGGCCTGCGGCCCCTCCCTGTCCCCACTGACCACGGGAGAGAGTCCAGGCTCCAAGGCTGGCTTCTGAGGCTCAGCAGGGGCTCAGGCCAGGCCAGCCTCGTGCGAGGCCACACCCAGACACCGGCTCCACAACTCTCACCATTTCACATGGAGGCAGGAGAGGGGGTAAGAGCATGGGCCTTGGAAACAGACATTGGTTCAAATCCCAACCTTGCCATTTTGCTCTAGATGGCAGGAAAAAAAAACCCAAAACCAAAAAGCCCGTGTTTCACAGGCGTGATTTCCCCTACTAAAGCCCGGCTTCCCCAGCGCCTGCTGGAACTCCTCCTCCTCCTCCTCAGCTCTGGGCTCCGCCTCGCTGTCCCCTCCTCCCAGAAGCTTGCCTGGAGCCCTGGTCTGGGTCAGGTGCCTCCTCCGGGCTTCCCCATCCAAGCCCTGACCACTCGGGGCTGTCACCCTCTGGGAATGGGTCTGTCTCCCACTGCCACGAGCTCTGGAAAGGCTCAAGAATGTGATGGAGTGTGGTCTGGGGCACAGCAGCGTGGCCCCCGGGGTAGGGGTGTCTGGGAGACAGCAGAGCTTGGAGGCTGGTGTGGGGGCTGTCGGATGGGCCATGGGGGATGCAGGTTGGGGTGGCATGGGTTCTCAGAACTTGGAGCCAGTGGGTGGAGGGTGAAAGGCCAGCGCTGGGCCCAGGATCAGGGTTGAAGGCTGGGGTGTGTCTGTTTCCATGTCAGTGAGGAGGTGTCAGTCACAGGGTCGAGTGTGGGGTTGAGGGCCGGGGCCACTCGGGGCTGGGGGTGGGCTGGGGGAGGTAGTGGTGGCTGCCGCATACCTTGGGGGCCCCGGGCTGGATGGAGGTGATGCAGGCGGGGTCGATGAGGGGCTTTGGCCGGCGAGCCGACTCCTCGATCAGGCTCTGCCACTGGCGGGGCAGCCCCGTGAACTTCTGCTCATGCTGGTCGAAGCCCGTGTGCACGCGGTGCTCGAAGTTGGACGGCGCGGAAATCTCCACCCGCTTCTTCCTCTTTCCAAACATGATTCCGGGCGGCTCGGTGCGGCCTGCGGGAGGGAATCGTGGTGGGTGAGTGAGAGCCTGCCTGTGTCTCTTCCTCCTCTGCCCTGCCCTGTCCCTTCCAATCTCATCTTCCACCGGAACCAACAGGAGGCAGGTGCCTCCTTCCAGGTCTCCCTGCTCACCCCCTGCCCCCATCTGTGTGGCACACGCAGCCAGAGGGCGCCCGTGAGCACCTGAGCCGCCATGTCCCTCTGCTCAGAACTTCCCTGCCGCTCTGTCTCCTGCGGGCCCACAAGGCCCCATCACCTCTCTGTTCTCACCCCTTGGAGACCTCGGGGCCTTTGCACAGGCTGGCCCCCCTGCCAGGAGCTCACTTCCAGTGTCCGCACAGGGCTCCCCGTCTCCTCCTTCAGTTCTCAGAGCAGCAGTGACTCTTTCCCTGACCACCCCAAGGCAAGCAGCCCCGTGTCCCGCCGTCCCCGCTCCACATCACCGTCACAGCCCAGAAATCCTGTCTGTTGTTCCGTCTTAGGTTGCCGAGGGCAGCATCCACACCACTGCGCCAGAATGTCAGTGCTACCTTCTGGCCAGGTCTCATCTGCCCCGCTTCCCCACGTCCCCCGCTATGCCTGGTACACGGTGTGTACTCAATGGACGGTCACTGCTGCCCTGGCCACAGCCACCGCCGCTGGTCCAGCCCTGAGTCTGGGCTCGGGACGCACACACCGTTGGATATTGCCTCAGCACAGGGTTACTGAGCCCCTGGGGTAAGAGGGCACCCGGGCAGCCTTGCCGCGACACTCCCCTATCTTCAGGATCTGTGGTCTTCAGTCCGGCCCTTGCCATAGTACCAAGCACACAGCAAACGCTCGACCAAAGCCACTTTAAAAAACAAAGGGGCTGAGGGGGAGACATGCTGATGGCGGCATCTCATAGACAGCCCGGAGAAAGATGGGAACGGGAGCCAGGCGGCCAGAGTTTGACTCTCCACCACATGCTGCCGTGACCTTGGGCAAGTGACAACCTCTGTGTGCCATGGATGAACCCCCACAGGGCTGCTGCGAGGGGTCATGGGTGACAGGGAGCCAAGAGCTTGGTGCAGGGCTGGGCAAACGCGGGGGGCCTGTCGGTGGGGGCCACTGTGATGGCCGGGGCGGCTCCCAGTGTCTGTGGGAGGAGGGGCCCAGTTCCTGCTCCCCCGGAAGGCCCCACCCCAGCTGTCCCAGGCCTGGGCCCTGGAGTCGCACACACCTGGTCTGATGCTGGTGGGACAGAAGTGCCCTCAGGCGGGTGACCACTCCTCTAGAGGCTTCGGGTTACTCATCTGTAAAATGAGAGGAATGCATCCGTTCACTCATTCACTCATTCACTGAGGAATAACGCAGCAATGGGCCTCCTCTGCGGCCACCGCAGCGGCCCCGACAGCCTCTGACCTCATGGGAAGTTCGTGTGGGGCAGACAGACCTGTCCCCGTGCAGCAGCAGCCCAGGTGGTCAGGGCTGGGGGACGGGAGCACGGGACCCAGCCTGGAAGGACGGCGGGGTGGGCAGTAGGGAGGCTTCCCGGAAGAGGGGAACAGTTGAGACCAGAGGACGGGGGGACACGCAGGTGGAGTTTCTGTTCTGTCTTGTTCCCAGCTGGCTCCCCAGAGCCTGGCACAGTGCGCAGCCCAGAGAGTCCTGTGGTCCTAGTGAGAGGACAGAGGACGCGCAGATGCATGTGGCCCCTCCACACCTGCTTCTCTGCCCAGCTCAGGCTGCCTTCATGGGAGCAGCCAGGAAAGGTGAGGCCCTGGCCAGAGCTAGGACCATCGATGGGAGCCAGCCAGGGGAACCGGTTTGGCAGTGGGAACCCTGTGGGAGGCGGGTGGGGACCCGGCAGTCAACCTGTCTCAACTGGTCCCAAGAGGCCAGCGGGTGGTCAGAGCCGGCCTGGCCAAGGCTCCTAGGGTTGGCCCAGTTTCCCTGCTTGCCCTGGGGCCCAGGATGCAGGGCGGGCAGGGGGCCTCTTTCGTGTCTGCCCAGCCCCTTCTCCGAGCCCAATGCCGGCGCCCTGAGTGCTGCTCAGCCCTCCCTCGTGGCCTTCCAGCCCAGCCCATCCCTGGTGGCCCTGACCTACTCTCTCGCTGCTTTCTAGGCCCAGCTCCTAGGGTCATCCACATACCCCAGCAGTCCCCATCTCCCCACTCTGCCTGCTGTCACTCCAGAGCTGTGTCCCATGTCCTCTGGCCTCTCCGTCCTCCCAGATGTCCCTCCACCCCCTTTGGCCCCATGCCCAGCCCGTGACTCTTCATCGTGAACCTGTCACCCCGCCCATCCCGCTCCCTCCCCACTGCGGGGCACTAGGCTGTTCCCACAGTCACAGGAACAGGATCAGCCATGTGACCCTCACTAAGCCCAGAGGGCGGAGAGCAGGGAAGACCTGGAGGTGGCGGACGCCTGGGGACAGGGCAGGAGAAGCCTGGAAGGCAGGCGGCTGACCCAGCTAGCAGCACGGGGTCTGGGGTATGTCCTCCGAAGCCTGGCCTCCTGCCCTCCCACCCATAAACCCCCAAGGGGGCAAGGGGCACGCCTCCGGATATTTGCCTGGGGCCACCCCTTTCCTCTGGGCACTGCAAAGAGGGCAGGACAAACAGAGGAACTGAACATGTTTATAATGACTAGGCAGGGGCCCCACCCTGGGCCCTCCTGGGCAGCTCCAAGCCCTGCTGGCTTCCCCGGTAGGCGCTCCCTTCCCGACATAAGCTCCTGATCTCGCGGGGGCCACAGAGGCCGTGCCAGGCCTGGGAAGACGGAGAAGAGCTAGGCAGAAAGGCTGGGCTTGCCCAGGTGCAGGGAAGGAAGGGTGGGGGCTGGGCTCCTGGGCCAGCTCTGAGCTTGGCAGTCAGGCTGCCCAGGGCTCCAAACACCGGCAGGGCTGCTATGACCTGCCCTGTGTGACTTCACTTTCTGTGTCTGTGAATTGGGGATCTAACCCAACCTGGGGACCTCAATATGTGGCCCTGAGTGAGCAAGTCAGCCATGCTGTGCCTCAGTTTCCTCCTCTGTTCAAAGATGGCGATGACAGTAGCTGCTTCCTGGAGTATTTATTTTTTTTAAATGGAGTCTCGCTCTGTTGCCCAGGCTGGAGTGCAGTGGCGTGATCTCAGCTCACTGCAACCTCCGCCTCCTAGGTTCATGCAATTCTCCTGCCTCAGCCTCCCGAGTAGCTGAGATTAACAGTTGCCTGCCACCACGCCCAGCTAATTTTGGTACTTTTAGTAGAGATGGGGTTTCAACATGTTGGCCAGGCTGGTCTCGAACTCCTGACGTCTAGTGATCTGCCCTCCTCGGCATCCCAAAGTGCTGGGATTACAGGGGTGAGCCCCCACGCCTGGCCTTACTGGAGTTTTTACAAGGAATTACGGAGAACACAGAGCACGGAGGGCCTGGCCCAGAGACAGCGGTTGGAATCAGAGCCAAGGCAAATCACACACAATAAGTGCCGGTCACCATTCCAGTAGCAGCCAGCACTTACGGAGTAGCTACTGTGTACCAGCCCTCTTCCAGGCACTTTACCCGGGTCCCACATCTGGCCCTGGAGGGAGGGGCCATTATAAGCCCCAGATTACAAACAGGGAAAACAAGGCACAGAGGGGGACCTCATTAACCCAGGTGACCCAGCTAGGGTGGCAGAGTGGACACCAGACTCCAGGCCTGTCTGCAGAGATTCACAGGTTCCGGCCCTGCTGTGTCTAATCCCGCTCCATCCTCACAAGCATCCTCATCCCAATTCACAAATGGGGAAACTGAGGCCCAGAGAAGGGAAGGCCCTTGTCCAGGGCATGGACAGGAGAAGCAGCCAGTGAGAAGCAGCCAGGATTTGAACCTGAGCGGTTGTATGTGGAAGGCACTGAAGGCTGGGCTCTTACCTGCCTGTCCTGCTGCCCTGGAGGGCTGAGGTGATGCTGTTGGTTTTATTATTATATTATTATTATTATTACCATCATCCTCTCAAGGCTCGTCCTGGCCTCCCCTCTCCCTCCCTCCCTCCGCATTCTTTCTGTCTACACCCAGACCTTGCCTTTCCTCTCCTGGCCGAGTCTCTGCTGAGGCTCCCTCCCTCCTGTGTGACCTGTCCTGGACACCACAGGCAGTGGGAGGAAGCAAAAGTGGGCCCCCGGGCCCCCGCCTCCTCCATGGCTGTTCACCAGCCTTTCCCATGGGCCTTTGCAGCAGGAAAGATGCTTAAAACCAACCCTTCCCACCAAGTGTGGCCTGAGGCTCAGCTCGGTACTCCCACCACCACACGGGACCCATGGCCAGAGCAGAGGCTGAAGCTGAGCTCACAGGCACCCCCAGCCGCGGTGGTAAAATCTCTCACTAAACTCACCAAGCAGAGCTGGGCCTGGAAGCCAGTCCTGCCCACTCCAGAGTCCACAGCCTTAAACCCTTCGCTGGCCCCCAAAATGCCTCCTTGTGGCCTGAGAGTCCCCACAGGGCATGCCCATCACCACACTGCCCTCCTCTCCTCCCAAGCACCCCTGTACTCACTGTGTCCTGGCCACACAGGTCCCCCTGCTGTTCCTCAAATCCTAGACACGGTCCCACCTCAGCGCCTTTGCATGGGTGAGTGCCCCACCTGGAACTCTCCTCTCACTGACCTCCCTCCTCCCCTGACTTCCCAGGCCCGCCTGTGCTCACAAGCCCTGCTCCTGTCCTGTCACCCTCTACGCCCATCTCTGCTTTATCTTTCCTTAGGGCTCTTACCACATACACGGTGTGTGTGTGTGTGTGTGTGTGTAATTCTTTTTTTTTTTTTAGACAGAGTTTCACTCTTGTTGCCCAGGCTGGAGTGCAATGGCATGATCTCGGCTCACTGCAACCTCCGCCTAGTGGGTTCATGTGATTCTCCTGCCTCAGCCTCCCGAGAAGCTGGGATTACAAGCGTCCACCACCACACCCAGCTAATTTTTGTATTCTTAGTAGAGATGGGGTTTCACCATGTTGGCCAGGCTGGTCTTGAACTCCTCACCTCAGGTGATCCACCTGCCTCAGCCTCCCAAAGTGTTGGGATTACAGGCGTGAGCCACTGGGCCCAGCCGTGTGTGTAATTCTTTAGCGTCTGCCTCTCCCCTAGAATGTGTCAGCTCCACAGGGCAGGCACGGTCCTCTGTCTTGCCCCCTCACAGCCCAGGGCAGCACACGGTAGGGACTCCGTGGAATGACTGTCCCTGCCCACTGCACTATTCCCCTGCTCAGAGGCCTTGGACAAGGTCCGGCAGCACCTGGAAAATCTTTCAGATAAGCAGCTGGGACCTGGAGGCAGTAGCCCCAGAGCAGCAGGGAGATGCAGCCTTCTGCCCCAGCCGGGGCACAGACGCCTCTGAAGTCCAGTATTCGATCACAAAAATGCAGGCATACTTTGTATCCTACTCTAAAACGTTTATTTCCAGTTTTAAAAAATCTTTTGAATTCTTTAACATGTGGGACAGGCAGCATTGACCTGGCCGAGCAGACGCTTCCGATTTTCCAGTCACCCCCTGCATCCTCTGACCTTTTATGGCAGGAAAAGGGTACCACCACCCCCATTCTCCCCTACAAGGTTAACTGGCCCAAATGGAAAAGCAAGATCCACTGTGCGACAAAGCTGTCGGTGTGAGTAGGTGCACGTGCAAAACCCCTTACCTCCTGCCCCGCCGCCTCCAGGTTCTGCTCAAAGCTGCTGCAGCGGGAAGGGAGGGGGCTGACCCGGGGCAGAGCAGGGGAGGTGGCCAGGACCACAGGCATCCTTTCATCATCACTAAAATGAAACCCAAATCAGGAAGGGGACCCACAGGGGTCACTGCCTCCAGCCTGCACTCAGGCTTCTACCATGGGTCGCACTCACCACCCTGCCACAATCTTCACCTACCAGCTCTGGGAAGACCCCTCCCTGCCTCAGTTTACCCCTACCTTCTGGGGATGTGCTCTGATGGCAGAGGCGCTGGGAGTCTGGCTTGCTGTCCCAGCACAGCAGGCTCCTTGCTGTCCCGAGTCCCCCACGCCATTCCTGCCTCCAAACCTTGGCTCAGCTCTTGCCCCCATCCTGCACAGCCCCCGACCCTCCTCTATCCACATCTCTCCTCAGGCTTCCCACACTGAGCCTCGCTCCTCCAAGGAGTCCTCAGGTTTGGGACTGACACATCCCCAGGGTCCTCCTTAGCAAACACCTACTCCACCCACAAGCGACCCCATCGCACCCACCCACGCGTCGACCCATGCACCTGTCCGTATCTACTGAAGGCTGACTCTGCTGGGCCTGGGGCCCACAGCAGTGCACCCAACAGTCA